TACTGATTACATTTAGAATGATATATATTTTTACTTCTTTCACTTTTAATCTATTGCTGTTTTTATATTTAAAGTGTTTTTCTTATAGGCAGCATAGAGATAGGTATTTTTTTAAATCCAATACTGCAAGTGTTTAGGTCATTTTATATGGTTATTGATGTTATATTAAATCCACCAAATTGGTAATTGTTTTCTATTTCTTCCAGTTATTCTTTGTTCCCTTTTTCCTCCTTTTATGCCTTTTTTTGATAGAGTATTTCTATGACTTCTTTTTATCTCTGTTTGGCTTATTAATTATATCCTTATTTATCTTGAATGATTGTCTTAGGAATTATATTAATAGAGTCTATCTTTAAGTTCACTTATAGCATAAGAATCCTATAGCACTAAATGTCTATGTCTCCCCTTCTGGACTTTGTGCAATCGTTGTCATACACTTTAATTTAACTCATATTACTTTGTGTTTTTATTTTGGCTTTAAAGAGTCAGTTACCTTTTAAAGAGGTTTAAATTTCAGAAAAAAAGGAATTTTGTATTAAGCTATGTATAAGTGCTCTTTTTTTGTATTAGCTATGTATTTCTGGTGCTCTTCATTCCTCTGTGTAAACCAAGATTTCCATCCAATATTATTTCCTTCTTCCTAAAAGAACTCCCTTTAGTATATTTTTGTTCATTGAAGACTCTGAAATTGAAATTTGTTCAAGTTTGTCTATCAGAAAGTTGTAGTTTCTTTTTCTTCTTGAAAAATATTTTCAAACAGCATAAAATTTAGGATTAGTTTTATCTTTTCCATTAAGACCTTTACAGGTGTTTCCCACTGTATTCTTGATTATGGTTTTTAATGAGAAGACCACTATCATTATCTTTCCTCTGTTAATGTATCTTTATTTTATCTGGTTACTTTGTCCCTGGAGTTAAGCAATTTGATCTTTACATGCCTTGTTGCACTTTTCCTTATATTTCTTATGCTTGGATTTGTTGGAATTCTGGATCTGTGCGTGTGTAGTTTTCATCAAATTTGGAAAAATTGGTTCTCTCTAATCCCTTTGCAGACTACAATTGCATGTATATTAGGTCTCTTTGAAGTTTTCTAGAACTCACTGATAGGGTGTTCATTTATTTCAGTCCTTTTGCTCTCCACATTTCATTTTAGATAGTTTCTCTCCCTATGTCTTGAAGTCCAGATACATATCTTTCTACTATTCATATATGATATTTTGCTTAGCACATAAACATATTTGCATTAAATTTTCCCTCCATATTCTTGATATATAGAATATAGTTGTAATAATTAGTTCCAACATTCTGGCTTGGTTCCTTTGATTGATTTTCCTCCTCATTACAAATTATGTTTTCTGACTTGTTGAATGTCCAACATTTCTCATTGGATGCCAAACATGATTTTTCTTGTTGATTCTTGGGTATTTTTGAATTTCTGTAAATATTATTGAGCTTTACTCTGTGATGCAGTTGATTTACTTAGAGACAGTTTTATATTTTCCAATTGTTATTTTAAGCTTCCACAAGAAGCATTTACTCTCTGATTAGGTTCATCCTACTACTGAGGCAATACCTTTCTGAAATTATACCCAATGTCTTATGAATTGTGAGGTCTTCCTCTGTGGAAGCTGGGACCCAAATTAGTTCAGCCTTGAGGGAGCTTCACTGATTAACCCTTCTGCTCCTTTCTGGAGGTACTTTTTCCCTTACTTGCATAAACTAATCAGTATGCAGCTAAAGACGGGTCAAGCCTTCAGAGCTCTCTTTATGTCTAGGTCTCTTTTCTCTGGGACTCTGGTGTGTGAACTCCAATTCTCTTGGTTTCCTGGACTCCCAGCTCCATCTCTTAACTCAGAGAAATCACAGGGCACCATCTCCATTCCCTCTCTGTTATGAGCTGAATTGTATGCCCCACCCCACCCTAAAAAAAGGTATGTTGTCCTAACTTCTAGTACCTTATGATGTGCCTTTATTTGGAAATAGAGTTGCTGCAGAAATATTTAGTTAAGAGGATGTCATACCATAATAATGTGCTTGGTGTCTTTATAAGAAGATGGCTGTGTAAAAGGAGAGCCTGCAGGGAGATGCCATGTGATGATAAGGGCAGAAACTCTAATTGTGCATTGGCAAACCAAGGAACACCAGAAATTCCCAGCAGACTACCAGAAACTAGGAGGAGACAAGGAAATGTTCCCCTACAGGTTTCAGTGGGAGCATTGCCCTGCATACACCTTGATTTCAGACTTCTAGGCTCCAGAACTGTGAAACAATAAATTTCTTTTGCTCTGAAACACCCCATTTGTAGCATTTTGCTACAATAGCCCTAAAAGCTAATATACCCAACCTATCCTATGGCCTGGTAATTCTCTCTAGGTAGCAATTTGGAGCAATACCAGCAATCATCTGGTTTGTAAATTCTCTTAAATATTACTTCCCTATTGAGCCTGAATGTCCAAAAGCAATTATTTCTTGTATTTTTGTCCAGTCCTCATTGGCCAGTCCTTATGAACTGCATTAACTAGTCCCCGTCTCTCTGCTTTCTGGGTGTGTTGCCAATGGCAGGCATCAGCAGGGGACTAGGAAGAGGCAGAGCAATGCAGTTGAGACCTTTATTTTCCCTGTCTGCTTTCAGTTTGGCAGCAGATGCCTTCCTCTGTCCAGGACCACAGCTCCTGACAGGCTGTCCTCTCCTCAGATGGCACTTCCACCCATTCTCATGACTGTTTCCTGCCTTTGCTTCTTTAGTCTTAGAGATGGTACAACATCTTTTTTTGAAATACTAAGACACCTTACCATCTCTTATAGGTTTTCCTTCATTACGTCTCTTCAACCCCCCTTTTTCAGTGTTCCTTCTGTTTTCTGCTCAAACACTTCGTAATACATGATGGATCTTCACAGGCCCAGGTATCATTAAGGGACCACAAAGTGGGATGAGATTGGCTTCTACGAAGGACAGACAGTTAAATCAGAGGTGCATCAGAAAAACGTCTGAAATTTGTTAGAGACCATCAATGCCACAGCAGAGCTAAACAGAAGAGTTTTCTTTTGGGACAAATGGCTGTGCTCACAGACCATGGGTCAGAACAACAAATCAATGACAACATTTAAAAAAACAACCTCTCTACAGGCAGTCTGTAAGGAGAAGACATTCCTTCCAATTCTTCCTTCCTGCAACGCCCAGGAAAGCTAAAACTAAGAAAAGAGAGGAGAAGATCGGGTTGAAGAGGTGACCATACCTCTGTTCCCAGCTCTACCTCACATTACAAGCCTTCAGAACCACACGTCTGGGCTGAGCTGAAGAGAAAAGGAAGAAGAATTTGAATTAAATATAAGACTGAGGTTTCATGATGGACAAGACTGAGAATTGTTTGATAGTTAATTAATGACTATATATGGGTTGATATAGTTTCATATATTCAAATGGCATGGACAAAAGCTTTAACTTGAAAATTTATTCTTATGTTGATTCCAAAGTATCATTGTGTATGAAACATTTTGTCAATAGAAAACTACACTTTATGTATTTATTTCTGAGTTTTTCTTACACCAACATATGTATCCTAAGTATATATTGTTAATCATATCATGCATTCTAAGGTGGGGCTTTTTTGGTTAACGTTGTTATTTTTTAATCATTGAAAGGTTTTTTCTTACCTCTGTTTACTTGGTTCCCTTCTATCCTCACTTCTTACAGAATTAGTACCCAAACAAGGCTGTCCTTTGAAGTATACTGGCCCAAGAACTATTCACAGCCGTGTGTGTGTGTGTGTGTGTGTGTGTGTGTGTGTGTGTGTGTGTGTGTGTGTGTGTGTATGGTGTATTTATAAATCCATCTCTATCTACATCTTAACCAATATCAATATCTATATGTAAACCCATACCATTTTTATCTATATCTATGTCATAAAATTTATGAAAAATAAATCCTTAGAGGTGTTAGAAACCCATGCCCCTAATCATACTCTACCATAGGGCAATGGTGTATTTATAAATCCATCTCTATCTACATCTTAACCAATATCAATATCTATATGTAAACCCATACCATTTTTATCTATATCTATGTCATAAAATTTATGAAAAATAAATCCTTAGAGGTGTTAGAAACCCATGCCCCTAATCATACTCTACCATAGGGCCCAGTATGGCTGCTGCAATAGTCTGATCTCCCTTTCCATTACCAGCTATACTATTTTTCTTTCCCAAGAGCATAGAATGGGAATAACTTTTGCACCAAATCCTCTCTAACATTTGGTATTGTCAGAGTTTTCCTGGATCTTACTATTGATATTTTTGTTAAAAATGCATGGCCACCCTCAAGGTTATCTAGGTTTTCTCCTATGTATCTTCTAGCAGTTTTATAGTTTTGAAATTTGCACTTACATCTATAATCCACTTTGAGTTAATTTTTTGAAAGATGTCAAGATCAATATTTTGATTCATTTTTTTGCATATGTAAATTCAATTGTTTCAGCAGCATTTACTGAAAAAAAAACCTACCTTTTTACCATTGTATTCATATCTCTGTAGGTATTATCCATCTATTGCTACATGTTGTCTTTTTTTCATTAAAACCCTTAGTATATTAATTATAGTTTTGTTTTATTTTTTATTTCTGGTCTGATAATTTTAACTCATTATTGCCACATTTGACTCTAGTTTTTATGCCCATGAAATTTCTTCAAGTTGTGTTTTTGTTTTGTTTTGTTTTGATTTGGTTTTTTGGCTTTTAGTATGCCTTGTAATTTTTTGTTTTAAAGTTAGCATGATGTACTGGGTACAATGAACTGTGACAAATAGGACTTTAGTAATATAGGTGTGAGGTGTGGGAAAAACAGAAGTGTCTTAGAGTCCTGTGATTAGATCTATCTCTTTTTAGCCTGAGTCACTGAAATTTGAACTTCACCAGTTAGATAGGATGACTGGATTGGGCAAGAGTTTTCCCTTCCCCCATTTGGAAGACCAGCGGGGTCTAAAGGTGAGTATTCCCCTTCCACTGTGTGGAAGACCAGAGCAGTTTAGAGCTGAGTGTTTCCTCCCCCCAGTTAGTTTGGCTCTGATGTGGCCCCAGCGGGCAAGGCTCTGGGAAACTCTTTCTCCTGAGGGTAAGGCTGTTTAGCAAAATAGAATGCTCTGCTTTATTTCAAAATGTTATTTTCCTCTCTTCTCCTGGAAACCTGAGGGATTTTTCTCCACTATTCACTGTGAGAACCTGGCAGTGCTCAGAGGTTAAACTCACAAGTTTGAGGGTCTCCCTGGATTTTTATCTCTCAGGCTTGTCCATACTATTTTCAGCAATTTGTCAATGACTGTTCAGGTTTTCTTACCCTAGCGCTAGTTCCCACAAACATTGCTGTTTGTGGATTTCTGCTCAAGTAAATTGTCAGCCTTCCTGCCACTTGTCTGTCTTTCCAGCTTTGGGGGCAGTGGTTTGCCCTGTGACCTTATTTCTGTGATGGGTCTGGGAAGTCTTTTTTTCCAATTTGTTCATCTTTTAATTGTTAGAATGGGGTAAAGACTGCTAACTTCCTAATATGCTGGACCAAAACCCAGAATTTTTTAGTGGTATCTTTGTTAGTATGTAATTTTGATATTGTCACATTATTTTCCAAAAAGGCATTAAGAACTCACTTTTTCACCAGCCAGCCATGTAGGAGAATATTCTTATCCCATACCTCTGCCAGCAACATTTGTGCTACTTTTAATTTTGCCATTCTTATGGGGATGCATAGTGAACATTATTGTAATTTGCATTTATGGGCTACTTTTGAATTTAAGTGTCATATGATTTTTATCCAATTAAATTTGATCGGTGAATTTTCTAGTCCTATCCTTTACCCATTTTAAATTAGATTATTTGTTTTTACTTCTTGGTTTCTTGACCTTTCTTTTTTTCCCATCTCTGTAACAGACATTTTGTTCCAAATCTGTCTTTTGCCTATTGACTTTGCTTATGATATTTTTGCTCTAATACATATATATATATATATGCTCATATGTATAAACACAGTCAATATAGCTATGAGTTTACATAGTTATGCAATTCTTGGGGATCTAGTCTTAGTTAAGAAGATCTCCCCACCATTATTAATCATTCATATTTTTCTAGTGAATTAAACTATTAACTTAATCATGTATTCAATTTCCCATAATCTGGCATCTAGTTCTTATTTTTTATTTTGTTTTATTCAACTAACATATTCTTCCAATCTTACACAAATACCATATTGACTTGATTACAACACTTTTAGTATATTCTGATTCCAAGTTGCCTCAACTGTCCTTTTTTATATATTTTTTTATCATCTCAGGCACTTCCTCAGGCTGTTCCCGATATTGCTACATAGTCTCCAACCTCAAGGACTTTTCTCTGCCTCTTTCCTGACTGGATATCCTCTTGCATTTCTTTAAAATCTTTGCTCAAAATCACATCTTCTCAATGGCTACCCTATTTAATAGTGAAACCTAACCTACCAATTTTCCCTTTTAAATAACCATATGATTTAACTACTTATAATGTTTAGTTATTCTTATATATATTTCCCCTAGAATATAAGAAGTTCAGGAAGAGGATACTTGTTTCTGAAGAATCCTAATCACATACAGCAATATTGTCATTCAAATATTTATTAAACAAATAAGTTTGTTCATATATTGTTTTGTTTACTCGTCTTTCTTATAAAATATATTGCTTAGAATTTTAGAGGTTTTAGTTACTGGTGATGGATTTTTCCCAGTTTCCATTTATAGGAGTCTAAAATAGAGTAGAGAAAAATGCTTGCTTTTTTTGTATCTTGTATCCAGCCCACATAACAAAATACTCACTGCTTCTGATTTTTTTTAAATATCATGAGATAAAAAATGGTACTGTTCATGTTCTTTGCTAATATTTTACTCATTATTTTACTTTCTTAATGCATTCACTAAAAAGGCTACTTCTTGAACAAGTCTGTGATTGATTTTTGTAAATGACTCATGCATGTATGCAAGGATGACCTCAACTATAAATAGTCAATATCTTAATTGTGTTACTCAATCGCTCTTTGCTCACATTGATTTTAGCTTGTTAAACCTGTCCAATTTTGGAAGTGTTGTACTGAAATTCCTCAGTGCTGTTGAAGCTATTAGATTCTTCATACATCTCCATATTTTTCTTTGCTCATGAAACTTGCATGTTATTGTGATGTACCACTTTTTGATATCGTGCCTTCTTTGTTCCACTTAAATTTAAGGTCCATATGGAAATGGCCTTTATTTATTTCAATTCCAGGAGCATATTTTAGACAAAAAGTATTGTCTAAATATTTGCTGAATGGAAACTGTTGAAATTAATGTCTTCTACATGTATTTTTCTATTTTTCATTACATACTATTACAGTTGCTATGTATGGATGAACAGTGCACAACCTTGGGTTCATATGAGGCAGCATGATATCTCTATGCCTACATTTATTTTCAACTACAGGTGTCATTTGCTTTTGAGAGTATGTGTTATAAATAGCATATAGCAGGATTAAAAAAAACAAATTCTGGCAGTTTTTGCTTCCCTTTTTCCATCATTTTCCTTTATTTATTTGATCAAATTGCTGCTCATTTTATGTTTCCCTTATTAATGGAAAAATTCTATATACTTTTGCACCTCATTTATTATATTCTCTTCCCCAGTTGTCATAACTGACACATACATATACCTCTACTATTTGAATACTAGGTGTGAAATATTTTCCCTACGAAGACACACTATTCACCAATAATAATGTTCTATCTGCCTTCATCCCAGTTCTTCTCCCTAATAAGATAAATCTAAAGAGTCAATGTTTGCCCAGATGTTTAGTGACCTTTAGTGCCCCAGTCAGTCCTCAGCTCTTCAGTTTTGTTCATTTCAGCACACTTTTTTTTTCTGCACTATAGTAGTTTTCATTAAAGGATATCTAGTCTTGTTGTCTAAGTGTTCTTTCTTTGGTATTTACTTCAAAATTGTTATAAGGGTGCACATTCACTGAAATTTAGTACATTCTCTAATAGTGTCCTTTCACTGGCACCTAAGGATACCAACTTGATACAAAAGTTCTTAGGTGACATCCTATTCTACCTTGTATCATTGCATACAGAATGTCTGATAATAAACTTGGTTCTCAGGACTAATACCTCTTCTTATTTTTTTGAGTGTTTTATGTCCTACATTTTGTTTCCCAGACCATGAATAATCCATCCGCTCTTTCAATTCATTGCTGAGTTGTATATTAAGAAAGTCATATTTTTTAGTTCCTAAAAAGTCTCCTTTGTATTACGCTTGAGTTTTCTTACAACCCTTGTTGTATTCTTTAAAAAATGCAAGTAGTCTTTGGTTAACTCTTTCAGATCGTCCTCTCTGTGAATGCTGTGCCCTCTTGCATGGCTTGTCCCATTTATGGTTTTGTTTCGTTTTACTCATGAGGGCTCAAGTCACATTATCAGGCATTTAACTGCAGTAATCCTGCAGGTGAAAGTAAGCAGAGGTCCTCCGAGACAGGAGGTACCAGTTATCTAAAGAGGACCCTGTGGAAAGCCTCTGTGCTCCTTGGTGTCCTTATTTTTTCCCAGGCTCAGGGTCTTGGATGACTCATACCCAATGATTTTAGTCCTTCTTAGATGCTTTTTAAGGCAAGAATATTACTGGAATATTATTAATATAAGAATAGTAGAATATTCCTAAATATAAAGGGATATTTAGTTCTTAGATTTTTGGGTGCCAAGAGTAATACGGACCTGCCCTTTACTTCACACCTGTTCCTGGCATCTGATGCCTTCTATTAACTGCCCAGAGCTTGCAGCACTAATACTGCAGTGGCTGTCCTGTCCCTTGGGCTCCAGGTTTAGCAGAGTGAAACTCTAAACCTGTTTCACTGTCTGGAAGCCCACATACTTCTACTACATTTGGTGTGGAAGAAATACAAAGGTTGAATGTAGGGGCACATTTCCAGAACTGCTCAAATTCATTCCATTAACTTCCTCTTGAAATAATGTGAACATGAGGAATTCTAAGAGCTCAGTTGTGCTCCAACCCCAGGACACCCCACCCCGCTGTATAGCAGCAGCTCTGCTCCCTCATGGATCACCCAGATCTCTGTGGCTCCCGTCTCTGCCATCACGGTCAAATGGGCAAATGCCGCACAGACTGGAAAGAGGCTGCCGAACACCCACAGCTCAGCTAACATGTTACAGATACTGAAATTTTTGCAGTGGGAGCCTCTTGATGGGCATACATCAGACTAAATATTCTCACACAGAATAAAGATTCGTTTAATATTTTGAATGTGAGGGGGATCAATTTCCAGGCAAAACATCTGGTATGATAAAATATATTGATTTCACTTTGGGGGAGAGTATTTAATAAGATTATTAAGAAGTCCCATTTCCCCAAAAGGTTAAGAATCATTGATCTGAAGACTCTCTGTTAGTAAATTTCTCACACATTTTAAGCAACAGCATCTGCTTAGCAACTAACCTCACAGTCTTTTACTATTTTTAAATTATATTTTCTGAATGTTTATGTGTCCTTCTTACAAGAACAGCTAACTTGTTTAAAGAAGGGAAACTTCAAAAGTCAAGTAGAACATTTTACTACTTAAAGTGGGGATTAAAGAGATAAATGATGATATGATAAGGTGATAATTGAAAGTTCAGATTTGATCAAAATAACATACTTTGTGTATTCTTTTACATGGCACTAATTTAGCCATTTTGCATATGCCAGTTACATTGACATTTTTCCTAGGTAATAGTCAGTGTTACATGTGGTTACAACAAACTACTTCAGAGCAGTTAATAATTTCACACAGATTTCATTATGTTAACTACCATTCTTACTAATGCAGATGAAAAGCTGACGGCATTTCCACTGAGCAGTTCACTAAATTGAAGCCAAAATGGATTTGACTCAGCATCCAGTCAGTCAAAGTCTCGGCTACAGAGACGCTGCCACAGAGTTCTGGGATGGTGTCGGAGCGTGAGCGTCCACCCTCACTGCTGCAGGGGTCCAGTCAACACTGTCCTGAGGAGCACAGCAGACCTCAATGATCTTCTGGGCCTGAAAAGACAGGATAGGCTTGTTTTTTGCCGAGGAATGGTTGTCTGCATGTTTTTGCTGATAGACTTTCTGCTAAATTTATACTTAATCCCTAAGTATTCTCTGCAGTATCCTCAGTCAGGGGTCATAGGAAAGTCATCTGTTCCTGGGGAATTCATTCAAGACACACTGAAAAGCAGGACCTCCCCCCTCCACCACCACCCAGGCTGGGACACCCTTGAAATCCACAACCTTTGAATGCCTCTTTATTCTAGATCCACTGATATCCTTGTGCTGTGTCTGTCCATCATTCAGATACTGGGGAGTACTGTAACCAGATGCAAGGCGGTACTTTCTAACAAGACTCTGGATAGGCATTCTATTTACTGTACCACAGTACTGGTAGCTCTACCAAAACAGAGGGCCCTTTTACTCTTTCAATAGTTCCTTTCTCTTGCACACACACACATACCCGCACTCACTTACACATCCTAGGATACGATATGCAGCCTTGGCTGCAGTAGAATATTAAACCATGTTTTCTGTCAATGTGATATAAAGAAACAAGAGGCCTCATGTAATTTGGATTTTTCCAGGTATCTAATTTCAATCTAACGTACTGTTGTGAAACTAAGCCAGTAAGTATATATAGCTGGTCCATTTGGGGACTTGGTTTGCTATCTTAATCTGTGACAATTTCTGGTTTCCATTCCTTGTTCAGAGATGATAACAGTGTGATTTACAGGTATAACTAACAAATGAGATCAATTAAAATGTCTAAAAGTGGCACCTGTCTGAGGATAGGGTTGCACTAAATGATTCCCACAGCTTCGTTTCCTGTAGCCCCCACCATTTGCAAGACCTCTCCACATGCAGAGTAACAATGATGGGTTGTTTCCTAATGGATGTGAACCAAGAAAGCAGGCCTTATCCTGTGGCCTAGATATATGATGACTATCACTGGCTGGAGACAACAGGTGTAGTTTTCAACTTCATTTACACAAATGATCCCTGTGTTTCCTAGCATTCACTAATATAGCTTCTTGAATTGCCCAATTTGTTACAAATTTGTACTGTCAGCTGCCTTTGTGACTGAATTGAATTTGTAATGAAATAGAAGCTACCTTTCATTTGTGTACATTATTGAATACTTTGATAATTACAAGAAAAACTTGATACTTTTCAAAGATCTCAGGTCATGGAGAAGAGGAAAATGGTTACTTCTGAGGATAAAAGTATCAATTGGATAAAAAACCCCAGAACATTTTTTTACATTTGTTCTACTAAAGCTTTGTAAATAAATAATGGGCACTTGAACAAACCTTATGATCTCAAAGCATCAATTAGATAATACGTAGAAATTATGAAGGCTCAGGCATATTTTTATTAGTAGGTTTGATTACAATTGACATGCTGAGTTGAACTTTGTAGATGTGCTTTCATTAATGTGCTCATTCTGTGACAATGTGAGCCAGATTATATAATGAAAGGTGAAAATTTCTGCTCTGTGGTTTATCTCTGAAGCCAGAAATTATGTCTATGAAATAAATTGATATTATTAGTATACTTAAAACAACTTAACAAAATTTTCCAAATAACACCAGAGTCCTTATTCCTAAGTGACATGAATCCCCAAATTAGCTTACACCAGAGTATGTAAGTAGAGACATTTTGCCAACTAAAACATTTCCAATTTTGTACCTCAAACTCCTAAGCCTCTTATAAGTAAGATGGCAACATATGCCAGTGGATATGGTATGGCCCATGGATAATGCCTGTCATCCATGAATATTTTACATATACCCCTTTCATCCTCTCAAGTGGATCTGAACAACTAATTATCAGACACCCAACCTGTAAGTCTAACAAAACAACACTGTGAAAGTTAGTTACATCATATTTAAGAAAAATAATATTACACTTATAAAAATGTAATTAAAGGCACTCATATGAACAAGTTGCCATTAGATACAAGTGATTTCTTTTTTCTGTAAGACAGCTGGAGCACCCTTAGCTGAGTAGGCAGTGGCTTCAGAGATGCTGGATATGATATGATTCTTATGTGTTAATGTTCAAATGGTTTAGTCCTTTAAAAATAGTTACATAGAATTGCCATTTAATTATCACTAACCCCATATTCAGTATTGCACCCTATCTTATTCTGCAACAAAGAATGAAAAACATTGGGAGGAAATCTAATTATGCCTTATCTCTTATACCCTTTCTCTCCTACAGGTTGCAAACTACAGGAGTCAAACTACAAAATCAAAGCTACTCTAATCGTTTCTAGAATGGAGAATGGAGTCAACAGGTTTATATCACAAAGGAAGAAAATGCTCACACACTTAAATTTGTTAAACCATAGGCCACTAATGTTACTCACTCACAAGACAAGTCATATACATGTACGAAAAGCTGCCTATCTTGGGGGTATATCATGCATTTGAAATTGTATTATATCTCTCTATATATACATATCTCTGTATATTATATCTGTGTATGTTTGAAATCATATTATCTCTCATCTGCATAGACATAAAGATATAAAAGATAGAGATATATATCTACATATAAGATACAGATGTATTTTTAATTATCCTCATAAAAATCAATATCACTGAAATGGCTGGATGTTTACAGAAACTTTCTAGCTTATAGTGTGTTGGAACAGATAGAATCTGAGAAATAATAAGGCTCAATCACTTCCAATTAATCTTTGAACATTAAATTCAGGAAGATAGATTAATTTAGCCAAGGTCCTACAGGAAGATAGTTTTGGAGTTAGGGTTCTGGCCATTTCTTCCCTCCCTTCCTCTCTTCCTTCCTTTCTTCTTTCTTTCCCTCTTTCCTCCCTTCTTTCCCTCCTTCCCTCCCTCCTCCCTTCCTTGCCCTCTTCCTCCCTTCCTTCCTCTCCCCCTCTCTTCCTTCTTCCCTTCCTGTCTTTGTAGTAACTTTGTCAGGCAGCCTGGTCCCACCCCCTGCTGCTGCCCTTGGAGAGTTGAAGGAGCACAGCAATGCCTCCTGTTCATGGACTGGGACTGCCTCCCCACCACATGATTTGATCTAGTTCACATCACTGTTGTTCACTCCATGTTCGGTAAATGTAGAATTTTTTGAGACACTTTCGTAGTGGTATTTGCTATAGACAGAAGTTTTGATATCAGACACTGATTTGTCTACACTCCTAATCACATGGGTCACAAGTCCCTCAGGAAGAGTTTGAATGGTTGAGAGCAGCGAGCAGGGACCCATTTAAGGAACACAATGAAATACCAGATACTAGGCTGGATAACTTCATGGGCCATCATTTTTCTAATACAAAATCTTGCCACCACAGTTCTTGCAATGGGCTGAGACTGCGTTTGTCCTCCACTATGTCTTCTCCAAAGACCATAAGCACTTTGAGAATTAGATCAATGTGTTATTCATGTGAAATCTCATCCATAGTACCGGACATGTACTCTTTAATAATATTGTCTAATGGGTGGATGGATGGATGGATGGATGGATGGATGGATGGATGGATGGATGGATGGGTGAATGGATGGGTGGGTGGGCAAAACATTCAGTGGGACTAAGACAACTTGATAAAGACTTATTTTAGGAAGAAAAAGACTTAAGAAAAACAAAGAATTACTGAAAACTAGTGTAAGTTGGAGTGATCCTTTGTAAGGCCAGTAGGAGGTGATGCTGAGGACAATGATGAAACCGTTATCACTGAGGAGTTTGAACACTGACCTAAGGAACTGTAATTTTTTCAGTATAACAGAGCAGCCTGTATGAAGAGATTTGATTTTGTACATGATCCAGAGGAGGTATAGAATAATTACCTCTGTCTCTGGGTATATGATAAAATGGGAAAAGTAATATTATAAGTGACATTATTTATAGATGTAAATATTATATAAGCAATTCCACAAAAAATGAATCCAAGCCAGCCAACCAGAGGATCCTTGTACTGAGCCAATCAGTCACCTGCATGTCCATCAGGCCTAAATATTAGCTTGTGGTAAGCTCAGGCCTGGCATTCAGTGTTCAGAACTTCACTGCCCAGGCCTACTCACTCAGTTAACCCAGCATGGCAGCCCGGGGTTTGAAAGCTTGCAGGTGCTTTTCCATCCCAGGAATGGACTTATGATCTCCGGCACCAGTCCTCAGCACCTATCCATCCTCATTCCTCCATATTCCCTACCAAGGAAAATTAGCGATACTTGCTCAATTCCTCTCTCCTCTTCAACTCCTAAAATCCTCAAAACTCACTTATAATAATGGTGACAATATGACTACTAATAAGTAGCTCATCATGATCATGAGCAAAATTCATCATTTTTTGCCCCAGTGGACCAGCAATTAGGATTTGATATAAGTTGGTGATGATTATTAAGGGATAAAAAAATAGTGTTCTAACATGGAATTCTTGTGTGGGCCGTCTACAAGGGCTGGTTAGAACTGGAGCCCGTAGGGAAACCACTTCCTTCCTCCTGTGAGTCTTTTTGAGTTCAGGTGATTAATGTTGTGTGTTCTTCTATTCAGGCACCACACTTAAGAGCATTGTTTACCACCACCTTGTAATCAGCATGCCTCAGCAACCGTCTATTACCCTTGATAACAGTGTGGCTGCAATTTAGACCTGAAAGAAATAGGTGGGCTCTCTGAAGCTTAAGACTACTCTGCAGCCCTGTTATCTCCATCTATAATTTGTTTTCAAGAGCAGTGATTTACATTTCCATTGGATTACACCTTTTAATATATCGCAGAAGTAAAGGGGCCATGGTACAAGCTCAAGGCTCTGCCACATTTCAAACACTTGAGCCACCGTGAAGAGGGCTACGGTTACAATTAAAACCCTAAGTGAGACAGTTCTTTTCATAATATGGCACTCGCCGTCTGTGGGTGACAGGAAAGAGACAAAAAGTGCTGCTCACACTGTCATTTAAAGCCCCACGAAGCAATGCCGTGCCATGAGAAGGTTCATGACCTCGGCCATTACTGGGCCCCTACAATGAGAGTGCCTGGTAATATTACGTCAAAAAGTTCAGTGAAGATGATGTTTGTTGTGAGGCTGCTTCACATGATCTAAAACAACACAAATTCGGTTGGCGAACAAATTCTACTGAAAGGCTGAATTAAGCCAAAGTGACATTGCAGAGCAAAAATATTATCAGTGTTATAACAAATTACTGTTTTCAACAAGTGCTTCTTATTAAAGATCTTTATTAAGTACATTTCATTTCATTCTATTATTGGGATTTGTCCTTTATTTTTTAGCTTTATTGAGGTGTAAGTGACACAGAATAAAATGCATCCACATTAGGTGTAAAACCTGACCAATTCTGGCAGTTGCTTGTGGTCACAGAACCACCACTGCGATCAAGACGTAAAGCTGTTTCATCACCACTGGAGAATTTCCTCATGGCTTTTTTTTTAATCAATTCTTTCCCCCGACCCCCAAGCCCCGGCCACCACTGCTCTGTTTTCTGTCACTACAGTTTTGCCTTTTCTAGAATTTCAAAAACTGAAGTTATAAAGTCCTGTTATGGTCCGATCCTAACCCCCAAAAATGATGGTATCAGGAGGTGGGGCCCTTGAGATGCACATAGATCATGAGAACAGAGCCTTTGTGAATGGGATCAGTGCCCTTACGAAAAGACCCCATGGGGCTCCCTGTTTCTTGTGAGGACGCTGCCCAAAGTGGGCAGTGTGCAGCCCTGAAGAGCATCTTCACCAGGACCCAAACATGCTGGCACCCTGGTCCTGGACTTACAAGCTCCGCAACTCTAGGAAGTAAGTCCCTGTTTTTTATAAGCACCCAGTCAGTGGTGTTTGGTCACAGTGGCCTGAATGGACCAAGAGAAGTGTGCTGTCTTCATCTGAAGTTTTTCCCGTTGCACGTTATTTTGGAAATCCATGCATGCTGCACGTAGTAACACTTCGCTGTTTTTTTGCTGTTCCTGCTGAGTGGTAAAGCACCCCATCCATGAGCATTCTGAGTTGTTAGGGGCCCTTATGAATGTTGCATAGAGATATTGGTGTTCAGGTACTTGTGTGAAAGCTGCCGGAAGCAGGATTGCTGGGTCATGTGGCAGAAATGTTTAACTTCCCACAATACTGTCAAACTGACTTCCAAAGAAGTACCCCTTTTGTACTCTTACAAAAAGCAGGTTGTGTTCCAGTTGCTTCCATCTTCCCTGGCACATGCCCTTGTCATCTTTTGAATTTTGAACTTTGCCCATCCTTTGTATACAGTGGTGTCATATGCTGGTTTACTTTGCATTTTCTTGGTAATTAGAGAAGGTGGATCCTTTCATGTGCTTATTGACTCCTTTTTTGTCTTCTTTTGTAAGCTGGTCAAATCTTTGGCGCATATATGGGTTTGGTTTTCTTCCTACTGGTGTACATGACTTCCTCATATATTTTCAATATAAACCTTTTTGTACATACATGTTTGGAAAAATTTTTTTTTCAAAAACTAGTTACTGGCTTGGTTTGGTTTAGTTTGGAGGAAAAAATTTCACAAGAATGGTTTTTGCTGCTTTTGTTTTAAGAAGTTATCAGCTAGCAGTTAAGAATACA